TTAGCTTTCCTTCTATCATGCTCATGTGAGTCTTCATCATCCCTTGTTGATTCTTTAAGAGATGATATAAACATATCAATAAGCTTTCTCCCATTTTCAAGAAACCTTTTGTACTTCCTAGCCATCATAGCACGATCATCATGCTCACAAGAAGATTTCAATGCAATAGATTTGTCTTTCTTAATATCTCTAAGAGCAATCTTTATCTCGAATGTCTGAATAGAACCAACCAGTTCTTTCAAGTCAAGCTTCCAAACATATTTTCATTCTTCAATAGCTGTGACTTTGGGATCGAACTTGACTGGGAGAGAACGAAGAATCTTTCTGACTATCACGGACTCATCAAACTGCTGGCCTAAACCCCACATGGAATTTGTGCAGTCTCGTAATCTGAGCCAGAAATCCCCAAACTGTTCTGAGTCCTCCATCTTCATTCTTTCAAATTCACTAGTCAGTATCTGCAACTTGGAGTCCTTAACTTGAGTGGTTCCTTTATGGGAAAGCTCTAGAACCTCCCAAGCTTCCTTTGCAGTCTCACAAGTCATGATAGATCTGAATTCTTCAGGTGAGATGCCACAGTTAATTGCATTCAAAGCTTTATCATTTGCATGACTGAGTTCTTTGTCTAGAGATGACCAAGGAGTGATTGTAGGCTCTGCAAAACCTTTCTTTACAACCAGCCAGCATTTTGGATCAAGAGATTTTACGAATATTTTCATTCTAGATTTCCAAAAGGTATAATTTTTTCCATAAAAAAGAGGTGGCTTGTTTACGGCGCTCCCCTCGGTCGTGGACATCATTATGTGGATAATTTTCTCAGGTGTATAAACTTTGAATGAGAAACTCGGATCTGGTACCAATTGATATTTCTACACAATGGTGCCCAAGCACTAGAGGGGGGGTGAATAGTCTATTTGAAAACTAACTAACAAAGATCACCCCCAACTGGTGTAACAGAGACAAACTGATGCTAACAGAGAAAAACTTAAGATAAAGATGCGGAAAAAAAAAAGATTAACCTAAGCAATTCTATCACAATAGAAATCAACTAACAAGATATGGAAAGTAAAGCATGAAGGATGAACTAAGAATGTGGTTTGGAATCTCTACCACAACTACCTCACTCTAGTCCTTGGGGTTATATATCATTGAGAGTGAGTTAGTGAAAACTTAAACTCTAGACTCAGTAACAATTCAACCAAGACTTTTACAAGTAGCCAAGAACTTCTTGAGGTGGGTAGTGAAAGAGGCATTCCCACCTTTAGGTTCAAGGACTATCAACTAGAGGATAGTAAGTATGTGATATTGAACTTTAACCACAATCACAAAGGACAAGAAAGCAAACCAAAGAACACAAGATGTATAGTGGTTCGGCCAATGAAGCCTACTTCCACAATTCAAGTCGCCTCTTGCTATTAAGACAAATCCAAAGCTTTGGTACACCTCCAACAACTTTACACTACTTCCATTAGTGTTGATTTGATATAACTTGAAAATTGTAGAGGTTTTCTCCAAAAATCTCTAACCTAGAATCCACTAGGGTTTGAAGAAGCTAGTCCCAAGCTCCTCACCTTGAACTCCTTCTCAAGGTCACACCTTTGGTAATGGGGGTTTCTCTCTTGAAAAACTCACTTTATGGATTTGATAGAGAAGATAAGATTGAAGCTCACTATGGGTTTATAGAATACCCATTAACAACATTCACTCACTCTCACAAATGATTGAAAGGATTGGATTGAGTGAATGGAAGGAAGATGGATGATTTCTCTCAACAAGTCTTTCTCACCAAGCTAGGGTTTCTCTCTTGAATGCTCTTGAAGAAATAAACAAAATCCTTGAAAAAACCATTTTCATGTGTTGCCTTTTATAGTCAAAACCCCAAAAGATCCGTTGGTCAAAGTCAGTTGACCAACTAGGGTTTTTTTACCAAGAAAACCGGAGGAAACAGGGCTGAACCGGAGCTGAAAAACCTCAAATCCCGTCAATCACTCGACTGACTATTTAATTACAGATTTGCCATTGTGGGTCAGTCGACTGACTTGAGAAAAGTCAAAGGTCCATTATGAGTCAGTCGACTGACTTGAAAGCGTCATTCCTCCACATGTCTTCAGTCAACTCAAGTCATGATGAGCTGCCTGCTTGACTAGATTTTTGCCCGGTTGTCGCCGATCGAGTCCATTCTTGATGTCTTCATCTCCGAAGCCTTCCGGACACTTGTACAACAAGACCTGGACCTTATACAAGGACTCATAACTTTACAACACATGTGAAATGCCCGTTTTACCCTTGTTTGTCACAATTCACAAGATATAACATTTACATAGACTCGTAGATTCTTCATTAGACATAGGTATTACGGGGTTGGATTTTTTTACTTTATCCATTTCTAGGCTAGTAATCATAAAGACATCATAAGGTTTATGTACTTGTTCTAGATTATTATTATTTTGAAGTTGATGTGAATATTGGGTTTTAGGATGAAAATTAGGTTTTTCCCTAACTTGTTTTATAAGTGTAGAATCGGTGCAAGGCACAAATGTATTTGTATGAAGGAAATTATCTATCTCCCTACTCAATAAGTGGGGCCTCTTAGATTCCTCAGGTGATTCGAAACAACTAGGCGAATCCTTAAAATTACTTGTTGTTTGTTTAGAGTTAATCATTGGTTGACGATATAATATTTTATTTTCTCGTTCGTTGTCAAACTTAGTGAGTTTTTGTTCTAAACGTTCTATAATTTTAAATTGAGTAGCTTGTTGGTCTAGTATTTTCATAAGCAAATCTTCGGTATTAAATTTTGGTTCATTCTTTTCTTCAGGGTTATCTGGTATCATATTTATGTTATTACTTATTAGATTATCATAATTTTTATATGGAGAGTTATTTGGATGTAATTGTTGAGTGTTAAGGTATTTCGTTTCATCATGTGTATTTAGTTCATTTGGTTACATTCAATCAAAGTTATTGGTTTCGATATTATCAATGTAAGAATTAAAATTAGGTTCATTTATACTCATAGCAGGGTTAAATTGTTTGCTTTGTATGTGAATGTTTTCAACTTTTTCAGCCAAGTTTTTAAGTTGGGTGTTGATATCATTGTTTTCTTCTTTTACCAGGGCTTTTTCATCGTTTACTTCATAATCGGTATTCGAATTATTGTTATATTGTTGAGAATTTTTAGCAAATGTAGCAAAGAATTCATGGGCTTTACTTACAGTTAAACCTAAGAAATTTCCTTTATTCATATATTCTACCATTTGACGAGAAGCAGGAGTTAATCCAATGTAAAAACATTGAACTAAAGACTCGATTGGGATTTGAGGATGTGGACATTGTATTTGAAGATCATTAAGTCTTTCCCACGCTTCGTAAAATTTTTCATTAGGTTTTTGAGTAAATGTTTGAATTTTATGTCGAATATCTATCGTTTTAAATTTAGGGAAAAGCTTTGATATGAATTTTACGTTTAATTGTTCCCATGTTTTAATTGAGTTTTCAGTTAAAGAGTTGAACCATTTTAAAGCTTTTTCTTGTAATGATAATGGGAAAAGTCTAAGACGTATACAATCTGGTTCATTTTTTGTTTCATTAAGGGAACATATTTGAAGAAATTTTTGGACATGTGTGTATGGGTTTTCATTTTCATTACCGGTAAATATTGGCAAAAATTTTATTACTTCACAATTAATATCTTGGTTTAAATGAGGCAAAACTATACAACTAGGAGGTCAATTTATCAAGGGTACGAAGAAATCGTGAAGTGTTTTCTCCATGATATACTTAATCATATCTCAAAAGCATAAACTAAGGTGTTGATATCGGGTCTTTTGGTGCGTAACCTTTATCAACTTTGTAAATGTTATATCTTGTGAATTGTGACAACCAAGGGCATAACGGACATTTCACATATACTGTAAGTTATATGAGTCCTTGTATTAGGTCTAGGTCTTGGTGTTCAAGTGTCCGGAGGCCTACGGAGTTGAATACATCAAGAATGGACGTGAACGGCGGCAACCGAGCACACCCGGGAGTCAAGCAGGCAGCTGAACTGTACTGGAGTCGACTGATGTGCTGGAGGGAGGAATACACCATAAGGTCAGTCGACTGACCCTATGGAGGGGTGACTGATCTTTTAAGGTCAGTCGACTGACATGCAAGCATCCAGTGGCCGTTTTGGTAAATAAAGGGTCAGTCGACTAACTGACGGGATATGCTGGATTTCAGCCCGGTATCCTCCAACTCACTCCCGGTTCACTCGGTCAAAACCCTAGTTGGTCATATGACTTTGACCAACGACTCTTTTAGGGTTTTGACTATAAAAACAACATAACAAGAGGATTTCTCAAAGGATTTTGTGTATTTCATCAAGAGCTTTCAAGAGGCCAAAAACCTAACTTTGTGAGATAAGCTTGTAGAGAGAAATCATCATCTTCCTTCCATTCAACTCTTCAAATCTTTTCAATCCAAGTGAAGAA